GATTGATGTGTGGATTATTATTGTCTTAGATTTAAGGGTAATGTTTAGACAGAGGCAGATTCATGCAGAAAGAAACAAACGGGAGTAGTGTGCCAGGAGACTAATGGAGGGACTGCTGTACTGAAAGAAAGGGGTGGGGAGGAAGGGGTAGAGTGAGAGATAAAGAAACAAAGAGAAAGAATAAGTTACAGAGAAAGATGTGCGTATATAAAGAGAGGGGAAGAGAGATGTAGACACACATAGAGAGAGAGTCTTAGCAATACAGAATTTTTAAAAAAATTAGTTGCGTATCCTTTACAAGATATTGCAGAACCTACCCCAGAATTTATTTTGGCTGTTGTGGTTTTTTTTAAGGCAAATTTTACATACAGTAGTTTGCCATTGACTAAACGGTTAGCTCTCGGTAACACTGTGGAAACCAACGCAAGGCAAATCCTCCGCAACTGGGATTAAACAGAGCCCCCGGCATTACGAAGCACGCTCGCAACGCCTGAACCCCAAACGCTGAAGAGCCAATTCTGAAACCGCGAACTTCACCGGAAGTCAGTGCAGTTAAAGAGCTTCTTTCGCTTGAAGAAACCTTTACCAATGTCAAGTGGCTTTTGATGAATGTCATAGACTGTGGTCCTGCTCACCAGATAGCCTTGGTGAATTCTTTTCTTCTTAGGGTTCATCGTATGTAAACACCGGCAGTAAGTGCTGGTGGTTCGTCCATTTCTGGACTTTGGTCTTGTTCCCGAACTTGAATGCACATCCATTTAACAGATTAGGCATATTTGCACACAAACTACTAGTTCTTCACCTGTCAAGTAGATGCACTACGGCTTCGAAGGAAACCCCCACCCATATTTTGTCGCCTTGTAGGACATGCTTGTTAGCGAGGCAGTGGATCTTTGCTTTCTCCCTTTAAAATGGGCCAGCTAAACCCACACAGGAAACTTGGCGGACAGGCTGATGGAGGTCTTTTTTCGTCACTCTAAAGTCCCACTCCGCAACATAACTCCTCTAATGCTGCTCATGGACCAGTGTGTTAATAATAGCTTCACGTCTACACCCCAAAACTGTTTCAAACGTTTTTTTTTTTTTTTGGCAGAGAAATTTGCCCAACAGTGGTACAATTCTGGCCATGGTAGACATTTGAATGTGGTGGGCGTTTATTTCAGCGGAAAGTATGTATGTACTTGCTTTGTCATATGGTCGGCGTTGGTGGCTAGAAGCGTTGTAAGTATGCTTCGTAATGTTGAGGTGCCTGGTTCGATCCCAGCTGCGAATGATTTGTCTTGCGTTGGTTTCGACAGTGATTCAGAGAGCTGATCGTCAATTATGTAATGGCAAACTACTGAAGGTAATATTTGCCTAGAAAAACCACAACAGCCAAAATATGCTGGGTTAGTTTTGCAACGTCCTGTAAAGGATAGGAAACTAAATTTGTCACATGGTTACTGTAGTGGAGGCTGAGTGGTCTCAAGGCATGGCGTCCGCAGGCTGGCGTAAAGCCTCGAGTGCTGGAGTATTTTCCCTGGATGGTAAGATTCAGGCCCGTGTGTAAAGGCACTAGGACTCTGTTGGAAACCAAAAAATGTAGCCTGGGGGCGTGACGGGCACAAATTTTTGTTAAAATTTTCCCTTTTTCCTGGATGGTACGGAGATCGCTGAGAGTCTTCGGATTCAGGCTTGTGTATTGTTGCGCACTTATAAAACAATCTTGTTTGGCAGTTGGAAACCAAAAAATGTATTATGGGGGCAAGTTATGACTTCGGCTTAAAATTTGGACAATAAAATCTACCCATGTACAAGTAATTTAAGATTCCTCGCCGGTGCTTGTGGACTGGCTCGTGCACTACGCTGAGAGTCTCACATATTCAAAAAAACGCTTGAGGCAGAAGTTGGCCAAAAGAGACACTTGTGGAAGTCAAAAAACTTATGGGTGCCTGATACAAAAGACAGTGAAATTCATACAAGAGACGGTTGATAACATTTTGTACCTGACAAGATACAACGAAATATGCCAAGTAAAAAATTATCTTGATTGATAACTAGTCCTATTTTTGTAGCTGTTTCTTTTAAGAGAGTCAGTGTGTTTTTTACCGTGTAGATTTCATTTTCTTCAACGATATCAATTTCATTTGCACAACCAAGAATCTTGTAGTTTCTCCTATAGTACATTCTTTCAATTTTCTTATAATTTTATCTAGGGCCAAGAAGAAAAGAAGTGGGGACAGAGCATCACCTTGCTTTAAAACTAGACCTACAAACACTTGATGTCACCAACTGGAAAGAGAAGGCCAGCTAGAGAGATAAATGGAGTCTCCGCAGCAATCTTCTTCTTCGCATTCACCAGCTGTAAACTCTGGCGGAAAGATCTGGTTGTTCATCCACTTCTGGACCGCAGTCCTGTTCCAGAACCTGAGTGTTGCGTGTGCATCCGTTTGACAGATCTGACTCATTTGTATGCAGACTGCTGGTTCCGCAGCAATGATCCTTAAAGGCTCGGATTTCAAATTTTACAACGGCAAACATTGCTTAGAAAAGAGGCATTACATAAATAAATATAATACACAGTCAAGATTGACAGTAGGTTTCAGAAAACAAGAGTGTTGCATACAAGTGATGGGGCAAGGACACGGAAATGATAATGGTATGATCATAGGAGTTAAGAGGCATTCGACCAGTGGAAATTATCGTGACGGTCCGTCCTTACCTCCTCCTGCCTGGCTGACCGGCTCTGCTAGCGTGGCCGCACAATCTGCAGCAGATAATGTGTGTCAGTGATTAGTGAATGCTAACCAGACCAACACGTGTCTTAAAGACACCGGATGTGTTGATCGAAAAGAGCAGACATCATGGGTCTGGTGTAAAACGGAAATAATTTAACTAGGTCGCAACCACTAAATAACATATAAACTATGTCGAACCATAACAGCACGGAGAAGTATTTGAAAGGGAATGTGGAGGCAGAAGGGGGGGGGGGGGGGTTGAAGGAAAAGAAGAAGAAGAAGATGATGATGATGAACAACAACAACAACAACCAATAATAAGAGGGTTTTACTATTATTATTTATTATCATTTATTGTTAATATTTATTATTATTTTTTATATTTATTACTATGTATTATTATTAGGTCTGTACCGAATATTCGCTTCGAATTCGAATAGTGGACCTAATAGATAGTCCGTATTCGGCCGACTACTGGCGGTCGGGCCGAATACGAATAGTGGTCTCTGCATACACTGAGATGCACTGAAATAACTCTCTCATTAGCACACTAGTTGTCGTAGCGGAGAAAACTGCGACCCGGTTGCGTAGTACAGCAGCTGGAAAGGTCTTTGCCTGCTGACTCGACCGAGGCATTACAGCAGAGGTTCTCAAACTAGGTGCGTATGTCAGGGGTGCCGCGGCCAAAATCAAGAAAATTCGATTAGAAATTGTAACATTATTAAAGAAGACATGAAGATACTTAAAAGTTAAAATTTAAAGTGTCTTTCCTCGCCACCGTCGAAAAGAGTTCTCCCCCCCCCCCCCCACCTCCCCATCCCCCTTGTCTCACACTCAAAGTGTATCATACTGCATAAAATGCCAACCGCAGCGTGCTTAAAATTGTCTTTGTATTTATCTCGACATGAGACCGATCCTCCATCTGTATTAGTGAAGGTGCAGCGGATAAGTAAGGTTGTGACTACACTTTAGCTGAAATTTTAAAGTAGAAATGTGGCCCGTACAATAGTAACTGTTAGCCTCGTCAAGTAAGCACTTATATTTAAAGGCAATGCGTTTGTGTGTGTGTGTGTGTGTGTGTGTGTGCTTGTTTGAGTGTGTGTCTGTGTGTTTGAGAGATAGAGGGGGAGAGAGAGAGAGAGAGAGAAAGAGAGAGATAGATAGAGAGAGAGAGAGAGAGAGAGAGAGAGAGAGAGAGAGCGCATTTTTTCGTTCTTTCAGGGTGTCTTTGCCCAAGTCAAATTTGAAGATATTGCTAACCAGAATATGAAGGTGCATTTAAATTACATCGAACGAACGGCCGAGCGAATAATGATTTCAATGCGAATTTGGCACATGGATAACATCAGATGGAAGATGCATTACTGAAATAAGAAACAGAATTGGACAGGTAAAAACTGCATTTTATAAAATGAAGAACATCTTATGCAATATATCTTTGTCATTGAACGTTAGAAAAAGAATTCTTGCTTGCTACATACATCCAGCTTTAACATATGGCTGTGAGTCCTGGACAATTGGCAGGCAGGCCAAACAATTTCTTGAGGCCTCAGAGATGTGGTTTTACAGAATAATGCTTAAAATACCTTGGACGGCAAAAAAAGCAACCAAGAGATTTTGAAAAAGGAGGGAGCACAAAGACAACTAATAACAGACAGTCATCATTTTTCGGCAATGTTATGAGAAGAGGGAAAATGGAACATGTGGTGATCACTGGAAAGATCTGTGGAAGGAGGGATAGAGGAAGACAACGAGAGAATATTCTTGAGTCTTGTTGCATGTCATGAAGGTTTGTCAGCACACGAACTGACACATGCTGAAGGAGATCGCAGATTGTGTACAAGCAAAATCGTCAACGCTAGTCGACAAGGCACCTGATGATGATGATACACTATTTGTATTCGTATTCGGCCGGATAGTTGGTCCCGCCATTCTTATTCGGCCGAATAGTGAAAATCACTATTTGGTACAGCCCTAATTATTATTATATATTATTTTTATTATTATTTATTGTTATTATTTATTGTTATTATTTATTAGTAATATTTTGACGGTAGAGGGTATTATCTTCATCTGACGAACATGATAACAATAACAGTTGCACCCCAAACCATATCACACTATCCAAATATGCTGTAGTCTGACTAGTTGCATGTATAAGACAAACTACAACACACACACCGACACAAAAGCACACACACATATAAACACACAAAGACTTGACAAATTTAGACGTATAGATAGAAGGAGACCCACACCACCTACCAACACAAAGGTACTCACGTGTGGGCATCTGCTTCGGCTCCCCATTGGCTTCTGGATCCATGATGTCATTGGCCGTTATGTCCTGGGGCCGATCGCCCAACCTCTGCTCCATTGTATCCACATATTTGGTCAGATTGGCCACCGTCCCGCTCATTCTGTTCAGCTGCCGGGAAAGTTTAGCGTAGTCCTTCTGCGTGCTGTTGAGGTCTTCCAGTATGGACTCCATATTCGTCGTCATTATCCTTAAGGCATTCTTGGTCTCTGCCACGTCCCCGCTTAGCCTTAGCAAAGCATCTCGCATCCGCTGGGCCTCGCTATCCTTCTTGTCATTCAAAGTCGGTAATAGAAAGACATCTTTAAACTCCTTTAACTTGGTATCTATCAGTTTATCTACATCTTCCATGTAGCGCTGGACGCACTTACAACCTCTTCTTTTCTTCTTTGGTTTATCATTTCCAACGGTTTTGTCTTCAGGCGTTGGGTCATTTTCAACAGACACCCCAACGCAAAGTGAAACCACAAATATAACCTCGAGGATTTTGCGAATTCCAAAGTTCATTGTTGAACAAAAAGATTCAGTATCCAAGCAGGAATCTTATCCAGAAATGAAACGAAATCAATAACGCGTGCAGTTATCGCGAAAGCATTATCCAACGACCATTAACAGGAAAACTGGACATCACTAATAAGCAGTGAATGGGGAAATAATCATGATCGTGTAATGGGGAAATTATCGAGCACCCTGTTATGGGAAATTGCTGAAAGGCGTCGACAGGGAAAACACTGATGCTTGTGCAAAAAGAAATTACCAATAATCATGAACATAGATGGTACACAAAATTCCCTCATGTAAAATGTCGATACAGACTCTATGTATGTTGAATGTACAGTAAATTATATGGTACTTCAGTGATAGCATTGAATCTGTGCAGTCATCACTGAGCCAGGTCGGAGAATTCTATTGAGGGATTAGCATTCGTGTGGTCTCTTACACTCAAAATACAACAGACGGTTATGTGGCTTGGTGCAGTTTCTGTGACAGTCGAAGATGAATCAACTATTTGGTAAAATTTATGTGGCAATCAAAGATGAATCAACTATTTAGTGCAGTTTCGGTGGCGATCAGAGAACAATCTGCTGCTTGGTGCAATTTCTGTTTCAATCAAAGATGAATCTGCTACTTGGTGCAGTTACGGTGGCAATCAAAGATGAAACTGCTATTAAGTGCAGTTTTTGTAGCAATCAAAGATGTTACAAGGTTGTCAATTTTTAAATTTTATTTGTGGTCACTGTAACAATCAATAATATGATGAATGAATTATCTCTGATGTGGTCTTTCAAATAATCATAGATGTTATTGTTAAACAAAGTGATCTCTGTTTCAATCAAGAATACAATAGAGAGATTAAATGTCTGTGGTGATCTTTTTAGCCAAAGGAACGACAGTGGTATCTCTTCTCGTTGGGTGCAGCCTCTGAGACAATCAAAAATCAATTTGCTACCTAGTTTGATCTCATGGAAAATCAAGTATACGATAATGAAGTCTCTTTGCTGGTTACATGCTCTCTTTCTTCAATGCAGGAACAGTTTTGGCGACGGTACGTCTGTCAGTTCTGAAAGTAGATAGTAGCAAAATTAGAAAAAATACAGTCAATCACTTACACATATATACCCTTTTATGGAAACATCAAGAACTGAATGTGTAATTGTTCTATTCTTCTTCTTTATCTTCTTCTTCCTTCTTATCTTCTTTATTTTGACGAACGTTGATGAGAGACACCAAAAGTGCGGACATTATTCCATCCCTGAAACGGATGGAGAAAAACCAACCGCGAACCGGACGTGACTATAACCGCATGTCTTGACGAGGGTAGTATTGATGATGATAATGATGATGAGCGTGGTGTCGCCTGGAGTTCTTTATTCGTAACAACTGTTGGAGTTTGCCTCTAAATATCCCAAAAGGAACATCTCAGCACAGTGCACGAGCTTCCTAGCAACGACAAGCACCCTAACATGCGTTTTCTATAATTATTTATTAAGAAAAGATATAAAACTGAACGAAAAGTATATCAGCAAGCTTCATGATATAACAAACACAAACACAAACAAAACGTGAAGCATATCAGCAAGCTTCACAACATAACAAACACAAACAAAAGAAGGCAAGGGGCCGAACATCTCGCAAATAGAAACATTTTTTGATGAACAGAAACCTCCTGTGGTGAACGTACCTCCGTGGAGTACTTTGTGAAGAGGATCCTTTACCGTGTCTCCCTTTACCATATCTTCAAATATAGTGGGCATATAGGGCAAGACTTGTGGATTATGTGGTCAGCACAGGACTGTACCTGGTACCCTCTTAAGACTGGGTCAGTCGACCTGGGCGCCAAGGTTATTTGTGAAAACGAAAACCCAAAAAAGTCTTGCTCTGTCGGGACCCGAACTCACGACCTGGCGATCATTAAATGAGCATCTAACCGCTACACCACGACGGCATCCAGAGTACTTTCTTTTTGGGATACGGGCGAAACAAAAGAAAAGACCCGACATTCGCTTAACCTACACAACACAGTACACGTATCGTCCGTTCAACCCTGCGTTGACGAGAGACACCCCACCAGCACTCCATCCTAAATCACAAGGCGTTACTTTCACCAGACTTTACCTCCTTGTTGTGAAAACACTCTTGGAGTGGCATTTATTGCCGTTCTGCCTGGTATGACAGGGCAGTCAGCTTACATAAATCTTTACCCTCGAGGAACTTAATCCTTTCTCCCGTTGTTACTTATTATGAAACCCTTATCACGGGGAAAACAAGTCAGACCTCCAAAGAAATATTAGAAGCTCGGCAAGATGGTAATGTGGAGCGTGGGACAGCTTATTTTAACAGGTTTTTTTAAAAAACATCTACCCATAACTACTCAACTTTCGCTTGCTCTTGTTTCATTATTCTTATTGTTTTTGTTTTTTAAACAACATTATTAGTGTGTTCCCTTTTGTTCTGTCGTTTCTTTTTCTTGGCAAGTGTGTTTCTAACTGGAAGGGTGTTTAACTTCTCTCCATTTAATTGTATGGAAGCAATGCATACCAACTATTCATACCTACGCAACTTTCGCTTGCTCTTGTTTCATCATTCTCACTGTTTCTATTTTGCAAACATTTTTAGCGTGTTCCCTTTTGTTCTTTTTTTTTTTTTTTTGGCAATTGTGTTGCCAACTGGTAGGGGATGTTGCTTCTGTCCATTTAATTCTGTAAAAGCTATGCATACCAACTATCCACACCTACTTAGCTTTCGCCTGCTCTTGTTTCATATTCTTATTGTTTCTGTTTTAAAAAGCAAAATTGTTAGCGGGATCCCTTTTGTTTTGTTGTTTCTTTTTCTTGTCAAGTGTGTTGCCAACTGGTAGGGGATGTTGCTTCTGTCCATTTAATTGTGTGAAAGCTATGCATACTAACTATCTATACCTACTTAGCTTTCGCTTGCTCTTGTTTCATATTCTTATTGTTGTTTTTTTTTTTTTTAAACAAAATCTTTAGTGTTCCCTTTTGTTTTGTAGCTTTTTTTTTTTTTTTTGCAAGTGTGTTGCCAACTGGTGGGGAATGTTGCTTCTCTCCATTTAATTGTGTGGAAGCTATGCACAACAACTATCCAGACTTTTTCAACTAATCAAAATATGTCCACTTATGCCCCACCGTGGCTGCTGCCGGGAGCCCTAGTTATAATTTAACCTGTGGGTTAAACAGGGTCTCTGGGACCTGTCCCTGGTGTGATCCTCATCTGAATGGTGGCACTTTGTGTAACCGGGTGTTTATCGCTTGGTGAAGACCTGGTGGGGTAAAAGCATCATCATCATCAACTTTTAAACTTTCGCTTGCTCTTGTTTCTGTATTCTAATTTTTTCTTTGTTTTTTTTTTTCTTTCAAACAAACTGTTAGTACATGTGTTCCCTTGTGTTCTTAGCAACTGTATTGCCAACTGAAAGGGGATTTTACTTCTCTCCATTTAACTATGGGGAAGCTATGCAAACCAACTGCCCAGCTTTGCTCTTGTTTCATTATTCTTATTGATTCTGGTATCCGAACACAAATGTTAGCGTATCATCATCAGGTACCTTGCCGACTGGCGTGGGCGATCATGCCTCTCCATCATCTCCTGCAGCGTGTAACAGTTCGTGTGCTGCCACACCTCCAATGCCATGCAACAAGACTGTGAAGCATCTTCTCTCGTTGTCTTTCTTTCTCTATCCCTCCTTTCACAGATCTTTCCAGTGGTCACAACATGTTCTATTTTCCTCTTTCTCATAACATGGCCGAAAAATGATGACTGTCTCCTTCTGATGTCTGTGATAAGTTGTCTTCGGGTTCCCGCCTCTTTTAAAACCTCTTGGTTGCTCTTTTTGGCTATCCAAGGTCTTCTAAGCATTCTTCTGTAAAACTACATCTCTGAGGCCTCTAGAAATTGTTTGGCCTGCCTACGATTGTCCAGGATTCACAGCCATATTTTAAAACTGGATGTAGCAAGCAAGAATTCTTTTTCTAACTCTCAATGACAAGGATATTTTGCACAAAATATTTTTCATTTTATAAAATGCAGTTTTTGCCTGTGCTATTCTGTTTCTTATCTCAGTTATGCATCTTCTATCTGATGTTATCTATGTGCCCAGATACTTAAATTTCGTACTTGTCCTAAAATAAAATCATCAACTTTTGTTACACATTTAGGAATAATTAGTTTCTTTGATACCACCATTATTTCTGTCTTCCGATTATTCAAACTGAGGCCCATTCTTCCACTTTCTAAAACCACACTGTCTACCATTTCCTGTAGTTCTTTCTGACTTGTTGCTATCAAGACTGTGTCATGAGCATAACGTAAATTGTTTACATTGTGCCCACCAACCACATTCCAGACATAGCATTTAAAGATCTTATTATAGTTCACTGTATAGTGAAAAAAAATCATGTGACAGTACACATCCTTGTCGTAAGCCCCTCTTTATGCTTTGAAATTTACCTAAACAGTTGGTTAATTGTTATAGCTGCTGTTTGCTGCCAATACATATTCTTTTTATTCGTAGATCTTTACCATCATGTTTAATTTTTCTAACAGTTTGATTAGTGTTAGCGTATATTAAGTCTTAAAAAGAACTAACGCCAGTGGCGCATGGTCACATGATAATAGGCTCACACTTGTATAGACTAATCAGCGCACCTTGACTTGGTCAGCTTCACACC